GTCTCTTGGCTAAGAAAGAGATTTTCCTACTTAATGAATCCAACAAGCCCTATGAAGTAAATTTGATATCTTATTTAAACCTAATTGTAGTTATAGACATCTAAAGGGACTGATTACTATGGAATCCAAAAGCCCTTTAAACAATTTAAGAACACTTGAGTGAAGGGGAAGAAGTGTACAATGTTAATATCTAGAGAATGGTTCTTTTCCTTTCTAGAATCTACTATGGAGCCAAAGGCGAGAAGGAGGAAGGGGACAGAAATCAGGAGGCATGAGAATGGATGAGACTTGGGGAGACACAATAGCTTGAGAAATGCTTCAGTTAACTTTACTAAAACGTTTCTGACTCAAGTCTGAGTCATTCTCTCTCTGTCTCTCTGTTTCTCTGTTTCTGTCGCTCTCTCTCTCTCTCTGTTTCTCTATCTGTTTCTCTCTCTGTGTTTCATGGTATTTGGAGGTGGGGAAGGTAGTGGGCCACACCCAAAGGTGCTCAGGTTTTACCCCTGGCTCTGTGCTCAGCTGTCACTCCTGGTAGTGCTTGGGGAATCATATTCAGTGCCAGGGATAAAACCAGAATCAGTTGCTTACATGCCAAGCATCTGAACCTCTGTAATCTCTTTGATTCCACCATATTTCTTTTTTACTGTATCTTATATATTTTTTATTTACTATATTTATTTTTACTATATTTTACTCTATTCTTACTGTATTTCTTTTCTTTTGTAATTTCAACAAAGGATCTATAGGAACAAGAGAAGTAATAAATCTCCAAAATAAAAGCACTGGAAAGAAAGAAGTCTAAGATTACACAAATTGTATAGCATACACCACACTCAGCTATCTTCTAAACATAACCAACTTCTTAACTTTGCTATGTCCAAAAAGAGAATGTTTCACATCATAAATTACATCTTAAATCTTATTTCAGCTTAGGCTTTCTCTGTCAACACCCTCTAAAACACTTAATCATTTATTAGCATTTGGCATGTTTCTTCAAAAATAATCAGCTATAGCATATTAGCCACACCGAGAAAACCATATATGGTTTTCTTTGTGAGATGGACATGGATCTTTGGCATTAACACAACAGGGTCTTGGCTAGGGCAGTCTTTTTAATAAAAGGCTTTGGAAATATCTTCAGTCTTGAACAACTTGTTTAGAGTGAGCAAAGGAAAAAAAACATAAAGCTTTTGATACATAAGCCTTGCCATCCTGAAAACACTGCCTTGACATTTAAGGTGCTTGGATTTATGGAGTGACCAAGAGCCAGATACAAGAAAACACAAGAAGCCATCAAGTCTTCCTGGAGAACTTTTCATTGTCCAAGGCCAAGCACTGGCCAACCATTTTTCCCCTTTGTGAATTTATACCAAACATATGAAGCAGTCAATTGAAAATAACAAGTTTTGAGCTTGTGAATTTTTGAATTATACTATTGACTGGGGGTCAGTAGAATTACTACTACTTTCTATCATTATCACTTACTATCATTATCTTCAGAAAAGAAATCAAACTCTCTCCTTCATCCCTTTCTCCTTCTCATTTGGATATTTATAAAGACACATTTAAAAAAACCCTTACTTTCCTACTATCATATGTATATCTACTGTCAACAAGCATTTTTCTGTTACAAACTGGTAAAGGAATGCTTTTAGACAGATCTAGGGGTATTAGTTTTGTTGATTGAACTTGGGTCACTCAGAGCTAATTTGTTATTAACACATTTCAAACCTAAAATTTTAAATTTGTTTAAATGTTTTTCTTTAAATAAATTTGTTATCTCTTTGGCTTAAAACACTTCTGATGCTAAAATATCATTAAAGTATCTTAGTTTCTTAACTGGTGATAAGAGCAGTGTTACTACTTTGGGAGAAACTAGACACTCTTTGCAATGGTTCCTTTACATCAAGTATTGTTTATACATGCAAGAATATCTGTGAAATGACTGGAAAATTCTAACCTAAAAAGTTGGGTGGTGTTCCATTAACTTTTAATTTTAACTAGGAAATCTGTTGATTATACTAAACTTGCTATAGTACCAGTGGTAGTCTAGGATCAGAGAGTGAGAAAGGTGGTTTTATTCTGATCATTTGATGGGGCCTCAAGCAGAAAATGTCTAATGACCTAACAAGGTCACTTTACTAAAAACTCATTTGTGGGTGCAGTGAAGCAATCCCCCATTTTGACAAGCCGGAATTTTAATGTCAGATGAGGCCCGCCTTAACTAGTTAAACATTAAAGATCAGTTTGCCTGCCTTTAAGAGTAGCTCACATGGTTCGAAAAGAAAAAGCATCTTGAAGGCATTCTTGTGGGTCACCCATCTCAAAAGACAGTGGGCATCTAGTTATACTTTGACCCTTATGTAATTGAGTGTCATATCAATATTTATCTTATCATTTTATTCACAGATTTGTCTACAAATGTAACCAGTTTGAAAACCCCAGTCAATTGTATTAGGTAATTGACTATATTAACTCATTTATAGGTGGGCGTGTAACAGAAAGTGTTAAGTGATTAAATAAAATGCAGAATTTATTTTAAGACTCTTTATTTTCTTAAGAGTTTTTAACTTTTCCCCAGCTTGCAACCATGTTTTTTTTCGTTTTGGGGGAATGGTGGGCTGTGGGTGGTCCACACTCAGTCTTCCTCCTGGCTCTAGACTCAGGATCACTCCTGGTGGGTTTGGGGAATCCTATGGGGTCCCCTGGGATTGCACCTAGTTTGGCCACGTGCAAGGCAAGTGCCCTACCCACTGTGCTATCACTCTGGCCACCAACCAAGTTCTTCTAAATATCACTTTAAAGAAATCAACTAACTAATCGATCAATATTGTAAACAACTTCCAGCATCCACAAATACACTCAGCTCTTTTGCTACCTACCCAGTTTTGACATTGGTAGTACTATAATCTAGTGTTCTGATTGGTTCTTAGAGGCAATAAACATCTATATTGCACTATTATATTAATCTCAGAAAGCTTCTAAATTGGCTGTCCACAAGAAAGTTCCAAGCATTTCCCCAAATTCACAAAATTCTGTGCTCGGCTAAGAAAACTGGATTATAATCTCCCATTAGAGAGGGAACTTGATCTTACTTATTTTTAAAATTCTCACAACTACTTGCTTGCACTCTGAAGTTTCTCAAACCAGTTTTGAGGATTTGAATAGACATGGTACAACTTGACTATTTCTTCAGAGGTCTCTTCAGAAGAAGAGGGGTCATTTCTGATCTTAATGGAACATTGACTTCAATTAAGGAGCCCATTTCAGTTGCCCTGCTCCCAGAATATGCTCAGAGTTCATAAGGCCCAGTTGCTAAGCAGGATCTTAGGATTTCTCCTTTTTGCCCCTCATTTCTAAAGGTTCTGGTTCTTTGTCTAAGTCCCAGCTTCAAACCTCAGAGATCACTACAGTTCCCTGGAAGCATGGCTGTTTGGAATAGGTTTTCCAGAGATCGACGAGGGTCAATTCAAAGTTATCTCTTATGGTGACCTTCTGTGATAGGCTAAGCATCCCATATAATGTTCTCCCCAGCCTCATCTTTCTTTATACCAGCACCAGCATCAGCTTTTGGAAAATCCCCAAAGCACTTTTCTATTCCCATACACATTAGTTGTGTTTTTTTCATGTGATTTTTCAATTTTTGCCATGATAGTGAAGCAGTTTTATGCATAGGCACTTTAAATTTTTCTACTTATTTCACTTACATTTTTCCCCTTAATTATCATAAAATATCATAGGTGAGCACTAATTACCAAAGACCTGATATATATAGTGCTGCATGTAGCGTCCCAAAGAAACATGGAGCCAACAATGTGGCAGTTTAAATCTTGCCTTGCTCACTTTCCAACTTTCCAGACCTGTGTTTTTTCACATAATTGTGCAAACTCCTGGAACCCATTTTAAACCCATTTTAACTTTTAAGCGGAAATTATAAATGGGTACTCTTGGACTGACCCACAACGTGGTATATGAAGTAGAGATTACACTTAGAACTCGAGAATGGGCTGGATTTTGCCTTCCACGCCGCAGACCCGGGTTCAATCCTTGGTACCCTATATGGATCCTGAGCACCGCCAAGAGTAAATCCTGAGTAGTTCAGAGCCAGGAGTAACCCCTGAGCATTGCTGGGCGTGGACAAAAAAAAAAAAACCCCTTTAAAAAAAAAAAACCCTTAGAGCTCCAGTCTGAACCCCACCTCTATCTCCCACCTTAACCTTCTTGTGAGACCTTGAACACTCAATAAATCATCTGTAAAATGGAGCAACATCTGCTTTGGGGTAATATGGAAGGAATAAGGGAAGTAACACACCGGTCAGAGTGTTTGCCCCCTGAAGTCATTCAATAAAAGAGTAAGAAGGAAGGAGACAGCCATTCACAGCAGGTGAACTGTTGCCCTACTCAGCAGTCCCAGGGTGTCTTCTAGGCCATTTATTTATTCCCCCCAATCTTATTTCAGCCCCATCTACTTTCCTGATCTGCCAAGATAATACTTCCCCAGGTTGGTTTGCATATGCATCTCCCTGGCCTCTTAAAACACACATTCTTAGTAAGTGTGGGGTGGTCATACATATCTAAGAACACCCCAGGTGTTTTCAACCCCAGCTGATCATGGATGGACCACACTCAGAAGAGAGGAGGATCCATTTAGCTGGATTGAGAGGACTAGATCCTTACGATTTAGCGAGTCACAAACTTGCCAGTTCCGCATCATCATGAGGAGGGCTCATTAAAACACAATTTACTGCTTCTGCCCAGAGTTTCTCCATCAGGGAGTCTGACACAGCGCCATACAATTTCATTTCAAACAGGTTTCCCAAAAGGTGCCATTGATGCTGTTGGTCTGGAACTGCATTGTTTCTAAGCTTGAGGGGGATCTACCCGAAGACGCCAGGGAACTGCCTCTTGGGGAGTAAGCGCCTCTCCCAGGCGGACTCATCATCTCCTTGCTAACCGAGCCCCCTCCCACGGGGCCTGCAACAGTGCTGGGCGCCCTTTACCTTGTAGACGTTGATGGGGATGTCGATGATGATGTGCAGCAAGTCTCCCAGAGCCAGGCTGGCGATCAGGATGTTCGGGCCGTTGCGCATACACTTGTTCTTGTAAATGATTCGCAGCAGCGTGGAGTTTCCGATGATGCCCAGCACGAACACGAGGCAGGACACCACGGTGTTGATGTACTTGAAAGTCTCCTTGATCTCGATGGTTCCTTCGCAGGGGGGAGGAGAGTGCCTGCGCGGTGGGGCTCCCCCAAACCTCCCTCCTAGAGGCACCTTGGGAGGTGTGGAGGATCCCGACAGGCTGGCATTGGAGCCCCAGGTCTTAGTGGGGAGTGTCATCATCTCTCCGTTTCCCAGAGGTGGCGAAGCGGTCGCAGCCGGCGGGAAACCCCTTGCTGCCCCTTGGCCCGCTGCCACGCCGCACACCAGGATTAGCGCCACCACGGCGGCGCGTGGGCACAGGCACGGCCGAGGTCGCATGCTGCTGCCTGCTCCGGCGGGTTCTGGGTGGCCGCTCTGCAGCTTTCGGCGCCTGGGAAATCTACAGGGAGAGGAAGACGGGTCACTAGCGTCGGCTTCCCCAGACACGCCCCTGCAGACCACTAGCTCGGAGCGCGGCCACTCCTCAATGGTTCAACTGCACAAGTAACTCAAGGAAGCGCGCCGGTTGGGGTACGCTGACGTTTGGGACCTGTCTGTGCCCTGGCTCTGCCCTTCCAGTTTTCCTCGTGTATATATAATTTATTCCTCTAGTGTCTCCCCCGTCTCTCTCCCCACCCCCCCACCCCACCCCCCAGCCAGGGTTCAAAGACTTGCAGTGAGATGGGGCGGGGCAGTCTGGAAGGGGTGGGTCGGGCCAGGAGGGAAAGATGCGAATCAAAGAAGGCAAAGGTCTGAGCCGCTTTGCAGTGCCTGGAGCTAAACCAGGATGACCTGGTCAAAGGGCTGTAGGCACCAGGGAAATCAGAGCAACTGGATTCCAGGGCAGACGTCAAGATCTGCACGTAGGGAGCCCCGAACCGGTGTCTGCAGGCCGCCCGCCAAGACTCCCCAGCGCGCCGCATGATGAAAGCCCCTATTTTTTTTCTGGAAGCCTGCGCTCAGCTCTCCCGGTCCCCCTAGCAGTGCTCGAGAAATAAGCCTGACTCGGTCAGACTTGGGAAACCGTCGGTCTTAACTCAGGATCGTTTATCCCCCCCGCTCCCCCCATCCAAAAGGCTCCAACACGCGTGCTCTCTCCTTTACCACTCAATCCATCGCATCTACCCGTTTTTTATTAAAAAAAAAAAAAAAGAAGAAGAAGAAGAAAAAAAGTTTCCCAAACTAAGGCAGGCAGTCCAGACGAAGCTCCAGGACAAGGTCCAGTGACTGATCTGAGTTCCACCCCCGAGTCAGGACGTTTACCTGGCGGATCGGAAGCAGAGCGCGGCAGCGCGCTGAGCTCGGGGAGCCTTGGTTCCCGGGGCGCCCGGCTGGCAGCTGGCTTTCAGCCTGCTCAGGAGGCAGAGCACGCCTCCCTTCAGCTGCAGGCGGGTCTGGCGCTGACGAAACGCTGGGAGAATTCCAGACGGAGTAGCCTCCACCGCGGCTGGCTCACGGTCTCTGCCTGTCCCTAGACAAGAACTTTTATTCAGGCGTCCCTTCCCCATCAATCACTGCCAGGCTCCTCCCGCGCCCTGCGACCGAGCCGCAACCTTTCCCCCGGGGCGATGCCTGGATAGCGTCAGCAGCCGCTGCCCGCGGGAGAGGGCAGTCCCGGGCAGTCCACGAGTCCCTGGAGGCTCTTCCTTTGTCATAGTTCTCAGCTCTCCCCCTAAAGCCAGCCATGCGTCTCTCGCTACTCGCGGCGTGCGTCCGGACATCGGTGCCTCCGGGTATCTTTCCAGTCCAGATAACTGGATAAAGATCCCGCGCGGGTTGGGGGTACTGCTCCTTTAAAACATACAGTTTGGCCCTGAAAGTTTCAAGTTCAACTCGGATCCCTCTTGGAAAAAGCCAGACCCTTTATATTTTCAAATCCTATCACTTCCCAGGGAGAAATCTTGAAAAACATTTTTTAAAGTGCTTCTTATCTACTAGGTTCTAAAGTGGTAAGCCAGGCCAGAGATTTATTTATTTTGGGGTGCCGGGTATCTAACCCAGGGCTTCACACTTGCAAGGCAAATGTTCTATAGCTGAGCCACATGTCACGCAACTGCTCAGGGATTTTCCTAGGTGGGGGGATTTGACAGGTATCAGGGGCCATGAAAATAATGAGGAAGATGACCATCAGATCTAGAAGATTTCTTAGGCAAAGCCATAAAATAAATACATCCAAATCCCATCTTGAACTCAATTTAGGATGAGGGAGAAAGTTAGGGCCACACCTGGCAGTGGTCAGGACTTGCTCCTGGCTCAGTGCTCATGGGTTGGTCCTGGTAGTGATCATGGGGTACTGTAGATGGTCCCCAGGTCCATGCAAAGCAAGAGACTTAATTCCTGTACTGTTTCTCAGCCCTTCAATAGAGTGAGTTAATAGCGGTCAGCTGTTTCACCTGAAGATTGTACAAAATTAATCACAATTTAATGCTGAGTGATAGCACAGCGGTAGGGCGTTTGCCTTGCACGCAGCCAACATGGCCGACCCGAGTTCGATTCTTCCCCCCCCCTCTTGGAGAGCCCGGCAATCTACCGAGAGTATCTCAGCAGAGCCTATATGCCAAACACAGTAACAACAAAGTCTCCAATGGAGACGTTACTGGGCCCCATCGAGCAGATCGATGATCAACGGGAGGATCTTTACCTTTTACCTTAATGCTGAGTGGCAGACACTGGGTCCAATACAGTCCTCCAGTCAACTCTGTTCGTGTTGGATCTGTGACATTTATTTCTCACCTAGCAATTATTTCTGGAGACCTGGGGGGATAGGGAAAAGGAGCTTTCTTGACTTCAAAACAAGTTAAAGTCATAGGTAGGACAAACAAGTTGGATTTATAGTCACCCGTGTATGCCATGCTTTTGGAGAGAACTAGAAGTAGAAAAGCCCAATTATATTTTAAAAGGTGAATTTAAGTGTGAAATATGTTCTGAAGGAGTATGGTTGAGGAGTAAGGCCATAGGAATGAGAAATATGGTCTAGGATTGTGAATGCTAATTCCAAATGGTCTATTTTGAACATGGTACTTATCCTCCCTGTCTCAGTAAAAATAAGGTCAACATTTAATTGCTCCATAGCTGAGACAAACCTTATGTGAATAAGAAATCCTATCAAAGCAGATGTAGTGTGACTATTTTAGTACTGAACGCTTATGCACAGTTCTTCTTCCAACATCTTCCCATCATACATACAGATGAAGCTCTCTCTCTGTTTCTCTGTTTCTTTCCATCTCTCCCCCTCTCGCTCCTTCTCCTTCCCTCCCCATTCATTCTTCATGTCTACCACCACTTTTATTCTTAACTTTCTTCACCCAGTTCTGGGTGTCTTCTAAGCCCCCCCCCCCCGAATTGTCTCTTCTCTTTTATCACTACACTTTGTGACCATTAAATGTAACTGAGCACTTGATAACACAGATTTTCATGGGTCACAACTGATTCATGGAATTTGTTTCTTTTTAGGGACCTATTTCTTATTTCTGTACCATCATATGACCTGTAACAGGTTGAGCTCAAGGAACTTTTTTTTATAGTTTTAATAATTATATCTTATATTAATTACATTTTGTAGCTTTAATCATAGGACTTAGGAATAAAACAAAATAATGTTAAGGTTAACATACCATCCATTCCTCATCTGTAATCTAAAATACAGTTTAGGGCCAGAGAGATAGTACAGGAGTTAAGGTGTTGGCCTTGCATGTGGTTGACCCTCGTCTGATCTCCAATACCAGGTGGTTACTGAAGCTTTGCAGGGAGTGAGTCTCCAGCACAGAAGTAAAGTAGCCCAGTAGCCCCTGAACACTGCTAGGTCTGACAATTCCTCCCCTTCCAAAGAATAACATAAAATAAAATCAAGTGCCTACTACAAGACTTTCCATGTGTATTGGGCATCTAATTTCAGGATCTCATTTATTCATTTACAACCACCTTTGAAATAAGTGTTGGGAATCTCCCGGGCCATGGTTTTAGTAATAAATGCAAAATGTTTTCTTGTTTGTTTGTTTTTGGGGTCACATCCGAGATGCACAGGGATTACTCCTGGCTCATGCACTCAGGAATTACTCCTGGCAGTGCTTGGGGGACCATATGGGATGCTGGGAATAAAACCCCGGTTGGGTCGACCATGTGCAAAGCAACGCCCTACCAGCTGTGCTATCGCTCCAGCCTGGCAAAATGTTTTTAAGTGAAGTGGTAAACCTGACATAAGAATATGAAAAGCCATCAAGGATCCAAGGCTCTTTCCCACGACAGTATCCTAGCTACAGACTGCTCTTTCTAGTCCCTCATCCCAACTTTAAATCCAATAAAAAGTGCTCACGCACCAACCTAGTTAAGAAGGTCCTAAAGAGAAAGGTTTCTTCTGCCTTTCTCTGGAATACTGCTTAGCATGATTGGAGTCCTGTCCTTTTCCCTTTCTTTGTCTTCTCAGTAAAACTGTTTCTAAAGTCAATCATTTTGTGTTGTCTCCTGCTTGCAGTCCTGGCTTATTGCAGACAAGAACCTGAGTGCCTTGTAACTTGTCTTCATGATTTGGTAGCATAAAACAGCATCTCAGAAATTCAATCTCATGGACATGAGGCTAATTGGTCGTAGGACTAGGATTTGGAATCAGGTTTTGAATCCCAGACTCTGATCTATTGACTGCATTTTGATTAGCTGCATGGAGTCTAAATAGATTCTTTTTTTTTTTTGAAAAAACAGTGTTTTAGAAATCAGATTGATTTAATTTAAGATTAACCATAAGTTGAGTGAATAAGTAAAAGGAACTTTGTTGAATATTTATTTTGATCCTGATGAGTAACTTTAAGTCATAAGAAATGGAGTCTCAGCTTTCCCTTGGTAAAGAGGAAAAGATGGTTTCTAATCAACTTCTTGCTCTACTAAGTCAATCTGGCAAAAATATACTAATAAGCTATATGAAAGAGGGTTGAGAACAGATCTTATGCCTGACTTCTTTTTTCTTGTATCTCTTTGTGCCAACATTGAACAATAATATATTGACATAAATCTTGACACCTGTGACTTCAATTTTTTTATTGAAAAACTTCATAGATGCACCAATGAAAATTGTGTATATTTCATTTATAACTAGGAGCAAAACAGTCTCTCGTATTTTAAGACTCTATCCCTGTAAGTTTTGAGTTTACATTAATTTTTATTTCGCATCTGTGAAGAAATTAAACTTTAATAAGTGTGAAATCATTTAACGTTTACTTTAATAAAGACAGTTTTTTAAAAAAAAATTTTATTAGTGAAACACCATGAGGTACAGTTGTAGACTTACAAATTTTTGTGCTTGGGTTTCAGTTATACAATGATTGAGTACCCATCCCTCCACCAGTGCCCATAATCCACCACCAATGATCCCAGTATACCTCCAACCCCCACCCCCCCATCCCACCCCACTCCTGTGGCAGGACATTCCCCCCCTCCCCTTTTTTTTGGTACTCCTTTTAAAAAATGTTTATTAGTGAAACACCAAGAGGTACAGTTGTAGACTTACAAATTTTTGTGCTTGGGTTTCAGTTATACAATGATCAAGTACCCATCCCTCCACCAGTGCCCATTTACCACCACCACGGGTTCCAATATCCCTCCCACCCCCCCATCCCCTCATTGCACTCTTCCTCTGTGGCAGGGCATTCCTTTTTGTTCTCTCTCTCTCTGTCTCCTTTTGGATGCTGTGGTTTGCAAAAGAGGCACTGAGTGGCTATCATGTTCAGTAAGAAAAACAGTTTTTGAAGTTTCCCAGAAAGTTCATAAAAATTCCACATTGGCTAAAATCACCTTTCAAAGACAGAAAGTATTGCAAAGGATGCTGTCCAGCCATCTCTTTAAATGCCTTAACTAGAAGATCCTGAAGACAGGGTTGAATGCCCTGCAGAATTCACACCTCAAAGACATTTGCCAGAGGGAGATTGCCCAAAGCAATCCCTTTCCCCTGGTAGGGAGCAAAGAAAAGCCCTTTTTGCCACAAAAAAGGCTAATACTTTCATGTAATCCCCTTGATGTGAATGTACTTTTCAAAAATCTACCTTGCATTCTCAAAACGATGAATGCTAATGGACAAGGCATGTGAAGAACACAGCACAGAGCAGTTCAGTGCTCCTCCCCATCCAGTCCCTTAGGAGCACCTCCACTCATCAAACAGTGGCTGAAGTAGGAGCTTCAAGATAATTGAAAGTGACTGCACAAATCAATAGCCAACGCCTTGAACATTTCAATTCCTCTCTACCCCTACCTCTTATATGAAATGACTAAAAGTATTTGAGTCTTAGAATTAAGAATTCTTTCCCTTTAAAATAAACTTATACTTAATATTTAGCTAAATCTACAGGGCTTAAGTGCATAGTTGGAAGGGGATTAGCAACTATGCACAACTCTGTGACCCATACATAATTTTTTTTTTTTTTTTTTTTTTTTTGCTGGAGAGAGAGCATTGGGCCCACTTGGTTACTTCAGAGCTCATTTTTGACTCTGTGCTCAGGGATCACTCCTGACAGTATTTGCCAGAATTCAGACTGGTTTGGCTGCATGCAAGTATGCAAGTACTCTACATGCTATCTACCTAATAGAGCT